GAAGTCTTTGTCTTGGGGAAATGATCATAGTAAATGTAAGTGACAAGATTGGTTCGAATGAAAACATTACATGCAATATATAGACCGTAGCTAGCCATGCATTCATTCCTTTGTTAATAGTAATACATGTATCGCTACAATCGAAGTGACTATTGAGATTCTTGCAGTTACCTCGTTGAAACCTGTAACCTCTTATATGTTTGCGACAGTTGAAGCATGTTGAAATGTATTTGTTACATTTATATACCTGCCTACCGTTGATCCTAGTGTAGCTATATGCTTCTTGTTTTGGTGGTGTACCCCCTCCCTCCTTTCCTATATCTTGTAATGTCTTCTCTTAGTTAAAAACCCTCTTTTGGCCATCTTTGTCGTGCTACTTTCAAGCTCCTAAGTCTCAAACCCTAGCCATGGCTCCCTAGCCTATGAGCTTATCTTGACATGGTATCAGAGCAGGTCGCTTCTAGGACCTTATCTTCATTGGGCCCACCGTATGCTTCCGCTCATGCGCCCTTCTGCCCGTCGGGCGCCCGGGGCGCGCGTCGTTTTTTTGCCCGTCGCGCGCCCCGGCCGCGCGTCGATTTTCTGCCCGTCGCGCGCCCCGGGCGTGCGTCGATTTCGTGCCCGTCGCGCCCCTCGGGCGCGCGTCGGTTTCTGCCCGTCGCGCGCCTTGGACGCGCGACGGTTTCTGCCCGCCCGCGCACCCTGCTGTCGCTTGCGCAGCTCCTACCCCGCCCCGCCCCCCCTTCTCCTCCATCTCCCTGCTGCGCGTGCAGCAGTGGGGGGGAGGGTTGTGGGGGTGAGGGGTGTGAATAATCAGCTGCTGCCCCTCCTCCTCTCACTCCCACTGCCGCACATGCCGCTGTGGGGGGGGGGGGGGGGGGGGGTGGGGGACGAGGGAGTGGCGGTAGGGATGCCGAGGGTGTGAGGGGGGGTTTGGGAAAATGGAGGAGGTTGAAGGGGGGTGGCCGCCGTGAAGCCAGCAGCTCTAGTTTTAGGGAGCCCGTTGCTCCAGTCGCCCGTGAGCCCGTTGCTCCAGTCGCCCGTGAGTCCGTTGCTCCAACCGCTCGTCTAGCCGCAGAGCCAGTTGTCAGAGTGTGATGTTTGTCTAGCCTGCAGTGGGGTACTCTATAGCGAGTATAGCCCAAATTAGGGTTTGCTATATGTACTCAACTGCCTGCTAGTGAAAACCCTCTTTCCTGTTTGTCGTTTCTTCCTGCTGTTTTTGACACCAGTTACTTCAGTTGCCCGTGTGCCAGTTGCTCCAGTTGCCCGTGTGCCAGTTGCTCCAGTTGCCCGTGTGCCAGCAGCTTCAGCCGCCGCCCACCACCTCCTCTCCTCTCATGGTCTCTCCTCCTCCTTACTTGCTGTCTATTTCTTCCGCTGCGCTCTGCCTTGGGTGTACCCCTTCAGGGGGTGCTGTTGCACATGGTTTTCACTGTAGGCAGCTAGGGGGTGTGTTGAAATATATTTGCTACATTTATATACATGCCTACAGTTGATCCTAGTGTAGCTATATGCTTCTTGTTTTGGTGGTGCACCCTCCCCTCCTTTCCTATATCTTGTAATGCCTTCTCTTAGTCAAAACCCTCTTTTGGCCATCTTTGTCTTGCTACTTTCAAGCTCCTAGGTATCAAACCCTAGCCATGGCTCCCTAGCCCATGAGCTTATCTTGACAAAGCATGTCGCAACTTCCTGGTCCAGGTTGGCCGACAGTCGCGACAGTTGACCCACCAATGTTGACCTGCGTGCCCTACATGGGCTAACACGGTAGTAATACAGGTGCTACCTCGCTAGTAGCAGGTGGAATAAGGCTGCACCTTCTGGAATGCTAAAAAGCGATTCTCACCTTACTCCAACACCTACCCCGTTCATATTCCTTTCCCCCCTATTTAGTGTTCGCTCATGCTTTCTCTCACACTTGTATTGTTTCCCCCCTCTTGTGCATCGTCCCTTTCCTTGTTCAAATGCAGGTAACAATTGCATCGTAAGCCTTTCAATGGAGGGTCTAAAAGATAATAGATGGTTGCAGTTACGGCAACCGGGTTTGTAGGTTTGATTTGATGATTGTGTAAACAGACGGGTAAAGACTGTAGCGAAGGAAGATATAATAAACAAAAATTGGGAAATAATCTCCCCAGTCTTTCTTCCACATGTTTATAAATAGTGTGAATGTTTAGTTTTTGTAACGACTGAGAAGTTCCATCGGTTTTTTAATGTCGAGTGCACATAGGATGTGGCTATCCAGAGAAACAATGATTTGTCAGTTTCAGAGCTTCACGTGCCAAATCATTTTTCCGAATCATGAGGTAGCTTAGATCCTATCCACGCAACTGATTCATGTGATCGTTAGGTGACATCACAGAGTTACAGGCGATGCTGCGTGAAATCCTGCTCAGAAAGCGGTGGATGCTGATGATTTGTACGACGCGCATGCGTGACATGTGAGTCCACCAGGAAACATACGAACAGAAACTCGGGCTCAGTGGTACACGTACAACCGCTCCATCGAAATTTTCACCTTTTTCGTATATAACATCCCTCTTTCCCTATCTGACTAAAGTCGCGGAATCAACGGGCAGAAAAAAATGCTTAGCATCCTATTGCGTTTGCCCTATATCCGTCACTATGTTGCAATCAGTGTTCACGAATACACATCTTTTGATACTATGTGGCCAGTCCATAACATTCCGAAATCCTTACTCGAGTATATATAATTTTGCTTCCATATTTGTACAATACGTTGTAAACTTGAATATTTCTTTTTATCATACATGTCACGTTTGAATGTGTAGCCTGGAAAATATTGTTCAAATAAATATATATAACTTAGTAAAAATAAATTAGTTAGTTTTAAAATAAGGTATGTCTATTTGATTAAACAAAGAATAGAAAATTCTGCAAATTAGGTCTACATTTTTTTGAGGTTAATAGAAATATATTATTTAATTTTTCATGCATATGAAGCAATAATTTCTAAGTATTAATAGAAATTTCACATATGTTTGCATCTATATAAAGGAAATGTGGTCTTTTAGGAATGGTTATACTGAGCTGTTTGGTGAAATTGGGCATTACCATTAACTGTTCCTCAATGTAACCTTCAGGAAATACAGAATTTGAATACCCACTCGCCCGTTGTGACACCGGTGCGTAATTCGTGTTTTATCGCTGGGAGGGAACATTTTATGGAAACACCACTGTAGCTACCATGGCATCGAGGCGTTTGCCACCGTTTGCACAGTTCTTGAATCAACTGGGTGAGATATTTCATGCGGCTGCTGGAAGATCGGGGGAATGCCTGGAGCTTGGAGGGGGCTGTGCGAGCGAGGGAGTCTTCGGTTCGGTTCGGGGGGGCGCGTTGAGGGGAGAAGGGAGGGAGGAAGGAACCCGCCAGTCCTGCATATTCAGCCAGCTTGCATGATCGGGAACGCGGTCGGTGCACATGCGGCGGGAAGGACAAGCATGTTGGGAGGTGTTGTTTCTACGAGGCGGCGCGACGTGGAGCGGGGCGGAGCTTGGGATTGGACGAGTTCAGCCAGCCAGCGAGCTCTTGTGTTCTCGTGGGGCACCCTAAATTCATGCTAATGAGTTTTGGTCTTGTGTTTCCTGGAGCCACTGACATGGCGAAACGGAACCTAGGGGGCTCGGGAGGCTGACAGTCAATCATGCCAGCTTGTTTTGAGTCAGCAGCTGATCGCAAGAATGACAGATGGAGAGTCGCGAGTAAAGAGACGGACCTCTCTGCATGTGACAGTGTAGGTTATGCGTAGAAAGTCACAAGGGAAGACCATGACGAGACAAGATGAAACGAGTATTTTTTTGCTACTAAGAGGCAACCTAGTCGAAACTGAAAAGTTTATGCAGACGGCCTGAACGGTTTCCGCCGCCGAGAAAATTCGTGCATGGCGTGGTTCCGGAGGTTTAGAGCTTATTTTGAGGCAGCAACTGCGAAGACTGCAAACGTGATCGAGATTTGCGAGTAGCTCACAATACGACCATTGCCGCCTTTCATTGCGTTGAAAAAGCATCACAGCAATCGGCGTTTCCGGACGACAAAAGGTATGATTCCGCGTGCCCTGGGACGATCATCGTTTACGTACCAAGCAAGCATCTTCAGATTCAGATTCACACATCGGCGGCACAAGTCCTGTGGAACAGGTATCATATCACTCAAACCCTAGCATCCTGCGCTGGCTTTCACAGCAAGTTGGGAGTTGGAACTGCTTCAGCTCCGCGGGTTGTCTTAGCGTTGGAGGAGGAAACGCGACCAAAGCCTGTCTTAAGCTCTTTCGAGCCCTGCTTTTAGCAAAGCCGAGCGGTCCGCTTTTCAATGAAGTGCGCTGAAGGTTGAGAATCCGACTTCGCGACTTCTTACTGAAGGTGCTGCCTTTGTAGTGTTAACTTTGACTTCTTAATCCCAAACTCACTGCTTTCAAACCTGCGTATTTCGCGGCTTTTTCACGTCGCTGTTAATCACCCGCGCTTCCCGTTTCCTGTCCCCTCTCCCATGTTCCTTCGCCCAAAGCAGGCTTCGTACCGGAATGACCGCAACTCTTGAGTCGCCAAGCCGCGCTTGTATCCGTTGCAAGCAAATTTGTACATTTATATCAAAATTACCACTCATATCGAACTTCGTAAGGAGTTTATTTACGTGGGCTTCGTTTCGTTTTGATTTTTTTCCTTTCCTCAACGGGTTACAGTACACTCCTTTTTAGAGGTCCACGAGTTACCCGGTCGTCGATCCGGTAACGACTGAGTAGCGAAACATGAACATGCGACCCGCGCCGCAGCAGCTGCGGCAAGACCACGGTGCTAACACAGCCCTCGCCGCACGAACGTCACCGCTACCGTCGCAGTCCCCGGCGGCGGCGGCGGCGGCGGCGGCGGCGACGAGTGGGGCGCGGCACGAATCACTGCTGGGGAAGCGGACGCGGGGGGATTTCGACGAGGGGAGCGTGGAAGCGCACGACAAGTGGGCGGCGTTCGGCAAGGATGGAGTCATGCTGGGCGACCGCGGGACGGTCGCGGAGTCTGCTGCCGCTGCTGCGGCTGCTGTTGCGGGCGCCATGGCTGAAGCACCTGACAGCTTTGTGTGAGTTCCTATTTCTATCATGCCATCCTTTCCTTTCCTCGCGGCGTATTTCCGCCATCATGTTTCTTTGCGATTCCTCTCCTGGTCTCCCGCATATCCCTGCTTTCCTCCTTCCCCTCTTCCGCCTCCCCATCTCCGCTTTCTCCGCCTCCCCTTTTCCGCTTCCCCCTCTCCGCCGTTCCCTCCCCTCCTCCTCCTCTCCGTCTCCCCTCCTCGCCTCCTCTCACGCGTTCTCGTGTCTCCCGGTCTCTCTCCGTGCGCGTGCCCCTGTCCCGTCACCGCTTCCTCGACGCCCCGTCTCGCGCTGTCTCCCCTCGCGCTCGCGCTTGTTGCGTCGCTAAGACTGACACGCGCGCGCGTGGGGGGCATATCTCATGCCCTCGCAGGCTGCCGACTCGTTCTGGCTGAATCCTTCTCTCTTTTCGTCGACTCGTCTCAAAACGTTCTCTTCTGCTCTTGCGCGCCTGCTCTTGCGCGCCTCCTCTTGCGCGCCTGCTCTTGCGCGCCTGCTCTTGTGTGCCTGCTCCCGCGCGCCTGCGCATGTGTCTCTGCGCCTGCGTTCTCCCGTTTCCACTTGCGCGTCTCGCCCGCTTCCTCCTATCCAGCCACACGTATTGTGCCGCAAAAGCGAACAGCAGGAAACGATTTGTTTTTAACGAATAACCCAGTCACCAACGAGCAAATGAACGTCCGCGCATCGCTGCCTCCCCCCTCCCCTTCCCCCCTGCAGCCCAGACCACGAGCAACTGCTGCTGGACCCCTCTTGGCCGCACTCCACCGCTCTCTCCTTCCCCCACCTCCCCCACAAGAAGCTCCCTACGTCCCTCTGGCCGCCCTACGCGCCCCCATCTGCCGCGCTCCCCCACTCCCGCCTCGTCCACCGCCTCCCCTCCTCCTCCTTCTCCCTGCCCTCTGATTTCAGTTCCCTAGGAGGGGAAGGGGGGAAGGGACTGGAAGTGGGGATGGGGGTGGGGATGGGTTTGGAGGGGCGAGGGGCAGAGGGGCATGAAGTTGTTCCCCAAGGGGTGTTTGCGAGAGAGGGTTATGGGCATGGGCATGTGCATGGGCATGTGCATGGGCATGAGCCGGGTTTGAATGGTGGGAAGGAGCGGCAGCAGCAGCTACAGATGCAACAGCAGCAGCAACAGCAGGACGAGGAGGAGGATTTGGATGCGTGGTTTCGTTTGAATAGACGGCATGGGGTGAGGCAGGGAGGAGGAGGCGGAGGAGGGAGAGGAGAGGCAGCGCCGAACTCACCTGCTCCTGCAGTAATTGCGCCAGAAGCAGGAGAAGGAGCAGCAGCAGCATCACTACCAGAAGCAGCAGCAGCAGCAGCTTCAATACCAGCACCAATAGCACCCGCATTAGCATCAGCAGCAGCACTCCCAGCCGCCGCCACCGCCGCCACAGCAGCAGCATCAGCATCAGCATCAGCATCTGCATCAGCGGCAGCAGCAGCATTCCCCTCTCGCCCGTGCTTCCCCAGGCGAGCAACAGGCGGGTACAGTGCCATGCGCCGCAGCACCCTTCGCAAGCTTCCCCCTGTGCCCGCGCTCGCCCCCTCCGCGCCCGCCCGCCCCCACTCCTCCTCGCGCCACCCCCTTTCTGCATCCTCTACTGCTGCTGCCATTGCTGCTGCTCGCGCTTCCGCGCCCATTTGGGGTGTGGGGGGAAGGGAGGGAGGTGGGGTGGTGGGGGAACGGCAGCAGTGCAACAAGGCACAGGGTGCTGGAGTTGAAGGGGAGCGGGAGCGGAGAGGGCAGGAGGGAGGGGGAGGGGCAGGAGCAGGTGCTGTGGGTGGTGATGGTGATGTTAGTCGCGGGTCTGCTGGTATGGCTTCAGAAGCAGTGCTTCGTTCGGCCGGACCTGGCACTGTAGGTTCGAGTGCAGGTATGGCAACAGGAGCGGCAGGGGCTGCGTTAGGTGTGGCTGCAGCAACAGCAGCAGCAACAGCAGCAGCAACAGCAGCAGCAACAGAAGAAGGAACAGAAGCTTTTCCCGAGCAGGGTTCTCTCTCTCCTCTCTTCTCTCACTCTCTTGCCGCCGCCGCTGCCTCCCCTCCGCTATTCTCCCACATGTCATCCCACGAGGGGGACGCTCTCCTTTCCTCTCTTTTCGACTCTATACCCTCCCCTGCCTCTCCTCCTGCTGCCTCTGCACCTGCTGGTACCGCCACTGCTGCTGCTGCTTCTGATGCGGCTGCTGGTGGTGGTGGTGGTGGTGGTGGTGATGCCACTGCTGTGCCTGTTGCTGCTGCTGCGCGTGATGGTACGGGGGTAGGAGGAGAGGGAGCACGGGCGGCTGCGGCCTGTGCTGGGACAGAGAGAACGGGAGAGGTAGGGGGCATGGGGAAGGGGGGGGCTGTGCTAGTGGGGAGAGCAGGGGTGTGTGGGACAGCGAGAGAGGCGAGCGGAGGAGGGAGAATTGAAGGTGGAGGGGAATTAGGAGGGGCAGGTGCACGGGGAGGGAGCGTTGGGGGAGCGGGTGGGGCGAGGGGAGTGGGAGCAGGGGCGGTAAAGCCGGTGTTGAATTTTGCCCAGTTCGCGCGGCCGCTGCAGCAGTATGGCAGCGCACATGCGAGGACCCTCCGTGCTGCCATTTCCCGCACCAACACTCGCCTTAACCCTCTCCCTGCTGTTGCTCCTGCAGCTGCTACTGCTTCTGTCGCCGCTGCTGCTTCTGCTTCTGCCACCGCCGTTGCTGCTTCGGGAGCTGCTGCTGCTGGTGGTGGCGCTGCTGCAAGAAATAATGCGGCAACACAGGCCGAAACACAATCAACAGCCAAGCTACCTCACGCTTCCACCCCATATCCCTCCCGCCCTTCCTCCCGCCCTTCCGCCCCGACCGGCCCGTCCTCTTTCCCATCCATGCCTCCTCCACCCAAACCAACATCCCCAGCTGCTCCCTCACTCCCCACATCCTCCCCCACTCGCCCGCCCACACACACCCCCTCACCATCTCCCTCCCCGCCCATCCGCCCAGCGTTCTTTCCCCGCTTGCTCCGCATCCTCCCATGCGCGTGAGCTCGCCAGGGCAGAGGCTTCAGGGTGGCCGGTACGTGCTTGCCTCTGCGTCTCCCACTGCCGCACGCCGAATCTCTTCGCTGTCTGTTGCTGGGGCAGCAACGCCAGCAGCACCAGCGGCACCAGCAGCAGCAGCACCGGCAGCACCAGATTCTTCCATACCCGCTCACAGGCTTGCTTATTCACTTGCATCTGGGTCATCTGCACCTACTGCTGCCACCACAGCTGCTGCAAGCACCGCTGCTGCAACTGTCACTCCTGTGAGCACCACTGCTGCCACTGTCACTCCTGTGAGCACCACTGCTGCCACTGTCGCCACCAGCACTCCCGCCACCATCACCAGCATCTCGGGTGGGAGTGCAATCAACAACAACACTGCCCATGCCACCACTGCTCGCACCACCATTGCTAACGCCACCACTTCTAGTGCCACCACCCTTCCCCACCACATCAAACCTGACGGAACCACTCCTGTGGAACAGAGCACCGTCCAGAGCCCAAGTGGTGCATGCGATGAGGGTAAAAGAAGTGCTGTCGGCCTTTCTGCTGCTGCACACGCTGTCACTGCCAATGTCACCGCCGCCAACCCTGCTACTGCCCTCCTTTCTCGTGCTGCTGACACTGCTACTCAGTCTCTACCCTTCACTCTGCCGTCCCACTCCCCTGGTGCTGATTCTGGCTTTGGGGTTGCGAGTGGGGGAGAAGAGGGAGGCTTGGGGGGAGAAGGGGGAGCGGGACAGGGTAGGGTAGTGGGGGGAGGAGGGAAGGAGGGAGGTTGGGAGGGAGGGAAGAAGACGCGGAGGGATGCAGAGCGGTCAATGCAGTTATATGAGCAGTATGGAGGTAGGGATGGGCAGACGGGAAAGAGGGGAACAGAGGGGGGAGGATGGAGGGGAGGGAGGGCAGGGGAGCCTGGAGAGAAAGGAGTTGGAGAGAGGGAGGCTAGAGTGGGCAGTGGTGCAGTGGCAAGCACTAGGGAAAGCAGGACAGAGAAAGAGTGGAAGGAGCAGCATGTGGGATGGAAGGCGGGCGGGGAGAGGAGAACAGAGGGCGGGTTGGATGAAGGCAATGATGTGATAGAAGAGGAAAGGGGGGTAGATGCAGGGATCATAGAGGAGGGAAGGAAGGAGAGCAGGGGGGATGGTGAGCGCGAGGAGGGAGGCGGGTGGAGATGGGGTGGGGAAGGGAGTGGGGGAGAGGAGGAGGATGACGACGATGACAATGAAGGAGACGAGGAGGAGGTGAGGGAAGAGGAGGAGGGGGACAGGGAGGCGGAGCGGGAGCGGAGAGAAAGAGAGGGGTTGTGCATGGTGGCAGCGCAGGGTTGTCTACAAAGGGCGCTGGCAGGCGCAGAGAGAGGCGTTGTGCACAGCCCAGGGGTGAGTGCGCAGCGCAAGGCAGAAGGGTTGTGTGGAAGTGTTGTGCTCAGACGTGCTACTGCAGAACGAGACATGGATGTGGACAATAAGTGTTTTTTTTTTTTTTTTTTTTTTTTTTTTTTTTGTTCTTCTGTTACAAGATGTGTACATGTGCAGAAAAACAGGATGGTTTCATATTAAGTTAGGATGCCAACGCGATGTCTACCGTTTCCTGTCATTCCTTCCCACTCTTTGCCCCCTCCGTCACCCCTCACCATCTCCCTCTCGAATTTTCCTGGCACCGATGGGACCCTGTCATTCCCTCTCATCATGCCCACCCCCTTCCCCACACTCCCCCCTTGTTTTCTCCCCCTGTTTCTCTCCCCCCAACCCCCACCCCACCTCTCCCCCCATTACCTCACAGCTGGCCATCCTAGGAGAGGGGCGTTGGCAGTTACAGGCCCCTGCACGGGCACAGGGAAGAGGAGTGGTGCAATGGGAAGATGGCGCTATGGAGGGGGAGCAGGAGCGGGAGGAGGACGACGACGATGAGGGGGAGGAGGAGGAGGAGGAGGAGGAGGAGGTTAGATGGTGGAGCGAAGAGGGGAGAGGAGGGCGAGGAGAGAAGAGTGGGTGTTACTGGGAGTAAGGCAATGGAAGTGGGGGGAGGAGGAAGAGGAGGAGGAGGAGGAGGAGGAGGGGGAGGAGAAGGTAGGGCGCAAGGAGAGGGAGGAAACGGAGCGGGAGGGGGAGGAGGGGCATCAAAAGGCAAGGCGGCAGGAGCAGCTGCAGGAGCAGGAGCAGGTGGATCAGGGCGGGCTCGATCTGCACGTGTGCATAATCTGTCAGAGCGGGTGGGTGCCTCTTTTCCTCTTCGTCTCTCCTCCTCTCCTCCCCTTCTCGCCACACCCCATATGCCTCCGAACGCACCCGTTTCTTGTCCAACCTTTTAAGGCCCAAGCCCCTGCTGTGATCTGGGAAGCCGGGATCTGGGAAGCCGGGATCTGGGAAGCTGGGCTTGTTTTGTGCTACTTTTTAGGGTTTCAAAATGATGCAAGCACAGCCCTTCACCTTTATCGCCTTCCACGCACCTAATCCCCCTCTCCCCTCCCTCTCCCTCCCTGTCCCTCCATGCACCGGCTGCCATCAAAACTTGACCCACAGCGGCGGCGCGACAAGATCAACGAGCGGTTCAACGCCATGCGGGAGCTGCTGCCAGACTGCAGCAAGGTGGGTGGCACTTTTGAGAATTCTCAAAGGGGGGCTGGAAGTTGGGGGGGGGGGGTGGGGGAGACTGGGGAGAGAGGGGGAAGGGTGGACGTTGGTGGGTGGGGTTCTTGCAGGGATGAGCGGTTCAATGCCATGCGAGAGCTGCTGCGAGAATGCAGCGAGGTGGGTGGGGTACCGTGAGGGAGAAGATTGGGTGGAAATGGTGCTATGTGAGTGTTGCAAAATGGATTCTAATGGGGGAAAGGCGGTTGTGCCTGTTATTCTGCAATCGGTCTGATGGTATGGTGCGTGTGGTGTGATGCGCGTGGTATGGTGCGTGTGGTATGGTGCGTGTGGTATGGTGCGTGTGGTGTGATGCGTGTGGTGTGATGCGTGTGGTGTGATGCGTTGGTGTGATGCGTCGGGGGATTTTTAAGTGGATACCTACCTAAATCAAGTACCTGACAGGTGGGTACTTGATTTGCTTCCCCTAAATCCACTCTCTTGCCCTTTACCTATCTCTCCCCCATCTCCTTCCTTCGTTATCTCCCTCCTCTTTCTCCTCTTCCGCCCCTTCCCCTCATTTCTCCCCTCCCTCCTGCCGCACCTCCATCTATTGCTCATTCCATTACCCATCTCTTTCTCTCTCTCTCCACCTCTCCCCATTTTCCCACTGCTTGTGTGCATGTGCATGTGCAGACGGACAAGGCATCACTGCTGGACAAGGTTATAGAGCATATTAAAGCCATGCAGCTGCAGCTGCAGGTAAGCTCACTCCCCTCACTGCTCCTCGCACCTCTCTTCCCCCCTTCTCCCCACCATCCCACCCCCCCTCCGCACCATCACTGCTGCCGCTCCCCCTCTCCATGCCCTACATGCTCTCTCCCCCCCCTCATGTACCCACCATCCTCTGCACTCCTCTTTCCCCCATTCTCTACCGCTCACACTTGCATCACTCACACTCCGCTGTCTCTCCCTCTCTCCTCTCTCGTCAGATCATGTCGCTAAGGTCAGGGCTAGGAGCAGGAGTCACCGGCGCAGCAGCAGCACATGTCATAGCCCCTCTCGTGGAGCTATCACCATCTGCTGTCACCACCGCCACCACCGCCACTGCAGCGGCGGCGGCAGCAGCAGCAGCAGCAGTGGCAGCAGCAGACTCCTCTCTCGCTGTGCGGCCCTGGCTCTGCCTCTTTGCTCTTTCCCCAGTCGCATGCATTAGAGGCTGCTGCTCTTGACCCGATGCACCGCCACTTGCTGTGGCCACAACACTTGTTCAAGCAGCAGCAGCAACAGCAGCAGCAGTGGCAGCAGCAGTGGCAGCAGCAGCAGCAGCAGCAGCAGCAGGAGGAGTGGCCGCAGCAGCAGCAGCAGGAGTGGCAGCAGCTGCTGCAGCAAGAGCAACGGCGGCAGCAGCAGCAGCAGCAGCAAGAGCAAGTGGCAGCGCAACAGGCAGAGCAAGACCTGTTTGTGCGCCTGCTGCAGCAACAGAGCGAGGCAGAGCAACATCGGTGGCAGCAGCTGCAGCTGCAGCAGCAGCAGGAGAAGGAGCAGCAGCAGCTGCTGCTGCAGCAGCAGCAGCAGCAGCAGCAGCAGCTGCTGCAGCAGCAGCAGCAGCAGCAGGAGCAGCATCACCGCCATCGTCGCCAGCAGCAGCAGCGGCAGCATGTGCCGCAAGAGGAGCAGGATATTCCTCTCACTCAACTTCTCCCCGCAACCACTCTCCTTGCCCCTCACTCTGCACTACTCCCCCTCCCCCACACCTCCAAAGCCCGCGCTCCACCACCCGCCCTTCCCTTTTCTGATGCTTTTCCTGCTGCGGCCCTGTCATTGCACCATGGTTCCGTTCCTGCTGTCCCTGCTCGACCCACTAACCATCCCCTTCCCAGCCTCACAGCTCTTAATCCAAGCACAAGCGATAGGCTTAGAGAATCAGCAGAAGCCGCTGCCTCCCACCCTTCAGCTGCTGCTGCTGTTGCTGCTGCTGCCGCAGAAGCTGCTGTGTCAGCAGGAGGAGCAGCAGGAGGAGCAGCAGGAGCAGGGGTGGGGGGGACGAGAGGGGGAGAGGGCGAGGGGCACGCGAGGCAGGTGTATGGTCTGATGGAGTGGGAGAGGCTGTGTGCTGCTCAATCCGCTGCTCCTGCTGCTGCTTGGGACGGGGCCTCTGAGGCGAAAATGGCACGGATTCTGCGGGAGAGCCGGGGAGAAGGGCGTGGGGAGGGGCATGCGGAGAGACGTGGGGATAGGCATGGGGAGAGGCTTGGGGAGAGGCATAGGGAGAGGCTTGGGGAAAGGCATGGGGAGAGGCGTGCGGAGAGGCTTGGGGAGAGGCTTGGGGAGGGGAACAACAGAAGGTTGGGTGAAGAGAGGGGGGCGAGGACCCGTGCAGGGGCTTTTGGCTCTAAAGCAGGTGCAGCAGGGGCAACAGCAGGGGCAACAGCAGGGGCAACAACAACAGCAGCAGCAGCAGCAGCAGCTGCAGCAATGGGTGGGGCAGTGCCAGTCGCAACGGCAGGTGGTGATGGTGTGGTGGGGGCAGAGGGAGGGGCAGGTTGGGACTTAGCAGCAATGGAAGCTGCGGCACTGCAGGTGGCCCGCATGGAGCGGGCAGGCAGGGAAGAGGCGGCGCTGCTATTCCCGCATTCGCACTCTAATCCTGGCAGAACCAGCAGGGGTGAGAGGAGGGGGCAGCAGCAGCACGGGCATAACGCGGGGCTGTGGAGAGGGGGCAGCTTGGGGTGGTAGGTAAGAGGTTGTGATGCGTGGGGGATTAAGTGGGGTGGAAGCAGGAGGTGATGGGAGCAGTGGTTGTTGGATGGGATGGGAGCAAGAGCCTGGACATGGAGGAGTGGAAAGGAAAGCTTGAGGTAGAATGTCTGTACCTTTCCTGGAGCTTGGAGGGAGGTGGGTGTTGCTGCTCCAGAAATGGTATGGACACCGTTCTCTGTTGGTCTGGTTGGTTGGTTTAAATTCTAGCTGACCCGAGGCTGATCATTGCCCGTGGTCAGGGGTTGCTCTTGTTGTTGTGCCGGTTGTGGTGGCTGTTGGATGGGGCATGGGTGAGCAGTGGGGCAGGGAAGCGAGAAACAAGCGTATGCAGGGCTTGGATTGGAAGGGAGGGGCTAGGGTATACGGAAAGGGGAGATGTTGGAGATTGGAGCAAGACAATAACATGTCCTGTGACCTGTCCTGTCATGTCATTTCATTTACTAGTCCAGAGGGGTGACCCTTGTACAAAGCTCCTTCCCATTCCACAGCCCTCTGTGTTTGTCAGAGCGGGATTGGGCAGCCGGTGCTGTTCCATTGTGGGGGGACGCCTTGAAAAGGCATGAAGGATCAAAGCAATAAAGGGAGAGCAGGGGAGGGGAGCACCGAACCAGGGGAGGGGTGCCATTTCCTGTTGGTGGTAACACCCCAGTACTTGTCCGAGTGAACCCCCCGCCCCGGTCTCATCGCAAGCCACTTGAAGCAGCTGGCTGCAAGCTGGCTACCTACCGGTACCTACTCACTTAGCATCGATTGGTTGGACTGGACTCTTTCCCTACCTCCAGACCACTCCTTGCCAGAGGATCACTTTACCGGCATCTCACTAACTGTGACTGCTTGCTGCAGAGGGAGGAGAAGACGTTGATTTGGGTGCGCTCATTTACGATACGTCTGGGTAGGGTAGGGATGATTCCGGCAGGAATGGATTATGTCTACGATACCTTGTGTATAGTGCTATGTGTTGGATCTTAAATAATCAGTGTTATACATTGATAAAAACGTTTCTGCTGTGTGTGGGTTGATTTTCTTGTATTAATTTCTGTGGATTTTTCCTAATGAAGATAGCCAGCTTCCTTACCTACTGTCTCTCACGAAAGTACACGGCAGTGCAGCACCACATTCGATATAAGCTTATGCGGCGAGAGTCGGTGAAACACGTCGGACAACTCATTGAAGCGTACAATGTGATTTCGGGTCTCCCCTCCCCTCCCATCACATCACCGTGCATCTCTTTCACAAAACAGCTCGAGTGCTCACCCTCCCCTCCTGCAGTCAGCCCCCACGTCCTAAGCGCTCCCCTAGTTTCCATAAATCTGAGTGATTCTGAAAATTTTTCAATTTCAAGTGATTCCAGCAATTCCAGATATTTCGAGTAAGCCGAGAAATCGAAGTAATTTCACGTGGTTCGAGTCCTCTGAGCATCGCCCGCCTCTCCGCCATGGACGGCGTTGATGGCGGTGGCTCTGCTGGTCATCGCGAGGGAAAGCAACCGGCGGCGGGTGGCGACGCGGAAGGCGGCGCCGCGGCGGGCAGCAGCGCTCCCCCCGCGTCTGGCGGAGTCCTCTTACAAGGCGACTCGCTAACAAGCTTAGTCGTGACTGAGGTGCGTGTGACTCTAGCGCGTGTGACTCTAGCAGTTTTGACAATCCCGCACCGCGATTGCACCGAGTGCTGCCAGCTGGCAAAAGATCCCACCGTCCAGTGACCGCGCTTCGAGCGCGCGCGTGCGACGCTCAGTCGGCTCGGTTCCGTCAACTACTAGCGGCGCGGGCGTGGTGTCGCGGAGTGGTAGCACCACTGCGCATGCAACACATGTTGTGTTGAGAATCTCTCCAGCACACTCTTACTCTTCGGCTCGGTCACCTCTAGCGGCCCTAGCGGTCGACTTTTAATGCGCTAGGGGACCTAGCTCACTCGGTCACCTCACAAGTCACCTTCAGTATTCGGTTCGGTCACCCTTAGCGGCTCAGGTGCCGCTTCCTTTCCACACCCCCCCGCCCCGCTTCTCCCCACCGCCAGGGCGACCTGTTGGTCATGGCCGCAGCATCAGAAGCAGAAGCAGCAGAGGGTGAACGCGCTCACGTACTGTCCGCACGTCCTCTCCGCCTCTGCCCGCCTCTCCCCCCCGCCCCGCCTCTTCCCCCCGCCCCGCCTCTCCCCACCGCCAGGGCGACCTGTTGGTCATGGCTGCAGCATCAGAAGCAGAAGCAGCGGAAGCAGCAGCAGAGGCGGCAGCAGCGGGCATCGGCGACAACGGCGTGTGGGTGAACGCGCTCACGTACTGCCCGCACGTGCTCTCCGCTGACGCTGCGCTGCTGCCTCCGCACTCCGTTCCGCCCTTCGACTCGCTCTGCCACAGGTGAGGGTAGGGGGAAGAAGGGTGAGGGCCCAGGGGGGAATTGAAGAGGGGGACGAGGGACGAAAGGGATGAAAGGTTTGGAATGTGAGAACGGGGGTGGGTATTTGGGGGAAGAGCAGGAGGGGAGAAGTAACCGGAGGGGGAGGTAGGGTGGGAGGCAGGGGCGGTCCGGGGAGAAATGCGTATGGGTTGTAGGGGTCCCCTCTCTCTCCCCTTCTTTCTCTCTTCACCCGCCCTTGTCTTGCCGTTGCTTATGTGACATCACCCCCTCCCGCTCCCCGCACCAGCACCAGCACCAGCACCAGTGCCATCTTCCCTCTGCATGGTGCTCTTATTGAGGCGCTTCTGTGATTCCAGGTGCTGCAATGATTTGAGGCGCCTGAGAACTAGGCACCCACAGCATGATGCAGCTGCATGGTGCTTGCCATGCATGCACACGCCCCTCAACCCTTCCTCTCACCTCACCTTCCTCCTCTCACCTCACCTTCCTCCTATCACCTCACCTCCCTCCTCTCACCTCACCTTCCTCTCTCACCCGTGCCTCTCCGCCTATCACCCCGCCATCGCACCTCGTCGCACGTCCTTGCAGCTGCAAGGACGGTACGGAGAACTGGGTGTGTCTGACGTGTGGGGTGGTGGCGTGTGGGCGGTACGTGGCCGGCCACATGCTGCAGCACGTCACTGAAACAGCCCACCCACTGGCTGCTGGCTTCAGGTGCGCTCCTCCTCCCCCCTGTGCTTCCCACGAGGCTTCCCTGCCCCTCCCCTGCCCCTCCCCTGCCCCTCCCCTGCCCCTCTCCTGCCCCTCCCCTGCCCCTCTCCTGCCCCTCCCCTGCCCCTCCCCTGCCCCTCTCCTGCCCCTCCCCTGCCCCTCTCCTGCCCCTCCCCTGCCCCTCTCCTGCCCCTCCCCTGCCCCTCCCCTGCCCCTCCCCCTACCCATTCCTTGACCTCTTATTGGCCTATCCTGTGGCTCTCATGGGCTATGTTGGGCCTTTAACTCTGCTCAGCATTTCCTTACAGCGCGCAGTGCAGTTTCTGTGAGGCTCTGTGGGGTGTGGAGCTGCATTGTGGATCAGCTAAGCCTGCTTCTAGTTCTAATGCCACACGGCTTCTGAAATGGCATGGCATGGCATGGCATGGCTTCACAATGCGCTGCGTGTCCACCACTTCAGGGACCTGTCAGTGTGGTGCTTCCACTGTGACTCATACCTCGATGCCATCCGCATCCCTGCCCTAGAACCGCTCTTCACCGCCCTGCACCTAGCCAAGTTTGGCCAGCCACCTGCAAAGCCACCCTCGTGACAATAGTGACACACGTGCTGGCACGACCACATGCTGGCAACGCATGATAATGTAGGGTACATAACTCACATGTCGCAACAATCTTGTAGCTACTAACTATATTGTGCCTAGTACTGTACTCTTAGATACGGTAAAAGCAGGGCTCCTACAAGTGTATTCTATTCTCAACCTTTGTACAGTAGATGTGTGTTACCTACCGTATTCAGCTGCGTATTGCGAAATAGGGAAGCTAAAGTAACCAGACAGACATGTCACGACTCACATTACAACACAACTCAACAGCTTGTTACATACACAGCACACTTTGGGGTGCCCTAATGTTACAGCACGGTTGGGTAAAGTGCTGCATGCGCACTTGTACCATGTAGCGATGGCGCCGCTGTAGTTTTGTAAGCCTAACGGTATCACAATTACAGCTGCTGTCCCCCTCTCCTAGTCATACCCGAGCTCTCTCCTGTTGCCCCTTTCATCCCGGGCACGCCCGTTGCCTCACAGCCTGCCCGTGACCCCCAGCAACGGGCTAATAAACCTCGATCATACCCACCTTCACATCACGTGAGACGTTTCACGCAACACCTTGAGGCACTAAATAACAGGTGCCCACATCCTTCCCTCCCACCTCAACCCCTTCGTTCATCCCACCCCCTCTCTACACTGCACACCGGCAACAGGCTTCTTGATTTCAAATTTATCCACCTTCACATCGCGTAAGGCACTCAACAACAGGTGCCCATATCCTTCCCCGTTTCCTTCCCCATTCCCTTCCCCATTCCCTTCCCCGTTCCCTTCCCCCCCTTCACCCCTCTCACTGCGTGCCAGCAACGGGCTTCTTGAATTCAATCTTACCCACCTTCACATCACGAGTCACTCAATACCAGGTCCCCACATCCCTCCCTGCCCCACTTCTCCAATCCCCTCCCCCCCTCGCCTCACTGCGCGCCAGCAACAGGCTTCTTGAACTCAATCTTATCCACCTTCACATCCCCCCCCACGAGCTCATATATATACACCACCACGCGCGCTCCATCCACATCCATCAGAACAAAGCTCGGGTGCAGCGCCGCTGCCGCCGCAGCCGCAGCAGCGGCGCCTGCAGCAGCAGGGTCGGTCTCCCCAGCAGCAGTTGCGGCGGCGGTGGCGGCAGCGGCGGCGGCGGCGGCGGCAGCGGCGGTGGTGGGGGTGTAAGCGCCGGTGGCACTGCCAGGGTTGATGAGCAGGCGACCCTGATGGCGATAGGCCTTGAAGCGGTGTGTGTGGCCCGTGATTAGAATGTCCACTCCCATCTGCCGCTGCAGCATGGCCAGGGATTCCACGTCGCCCCATGGGATCACCTGGGGGGAGAGGAAGAGGAGGGATGAGGAAGGAAGAGAGGGGAAGCGGTGTGTGTGCTCTGTGATTGGAATGTCCACTCCCGTTTGGCGCTGCAGCATGGCCAGGGATTCCACATCGCCCCATGGGATCACCTGGGGGGGAGGAAGAGGAGGGATGAGGAAGGAAGAGAGGGGAAGCGGTGTGTGTGGCCCGTGATTAAAATGTCCACTCCCATCTGCCGCTGCAGCATGGCTAGGGATTCAACGTCACCCCCATGGGATTACCTGCGGGGAGAGGAAGGGGAGGAATGAGGAAGGAAGAAGAGGGCAGCGATGTGTGTGGCCCGTGATTGATATGTCCACTCACATCTGTCGCTGCAGCATGGCTAGTGATTCGACATCACCCCATGGGATCACCTGAGGGGGGAGGAAGGGGAAGAATGAGGAAGGAAGAAGGGGGCAGTGGTGCGTGTGGCCCGTGATTGAAATGTCTACCTCCTTCGGCCGCTACAGCATGGCTAGAGATTCCACGTCACCCCATGGGATCACCTGGAGGGGAAGGATGAGGAAGGAAGAGAGGGGCCGCGATGTGTGTGGCCCGTGATTGAAATGTCCACTCACATCTGCCTCTGTAGCATGGCTAGGGATTCCACGTCACCTATTGGATCACCTGGGGCCGGCACGAGAGAGAGAAAGGAAAGGGGATGGGCAACAAAGGGAAGGCAATTAATGAAGAAGGGAAACATGGCACAACGCCAAAGGGATGAGGATGGGGAGGGTGGAACACAGAAGAAAAGAGGAAGCTGCTGACGAGCACTAGCTTTGAGGCGCGTAAAAAGTTTCAAGGCGAATTCTGAGGCATAGTTAGAATGGAACGGGCAGCCGTGCACAAGTGGTTGTGTGGCTGTGTGAACTGGTACACAAGAAAGCAGTCGCATGAGAGATGCGCCATGTGCCATGTGCTATGTGCTATGCGCCATGCGCCACGCGCCAGGGACGATGGGCGATCCACATATGGTGACCGTGGCAGAGGCCTATGCGGAAGCCCAGTGCATATTACCCGCTACATGCCTATGAATCCTCACAGGAAAGCTATAGCAGAACGTGCCATGTGCCATGCGCCATGCACCATAACCCCCACCTGGTGGCCGTGGCAGAGGCCGATGCAAAAGCCAGATGAGTCTTACCAGTTACATGCCTTTACATAGACTACCATGCGCCATGCCATGAGCTATGCGTCATGTGCCACGTGTCATAGGCCATGAGTCATTCCCCCAACTGGTGGCAAGGGCTGATGTGGAAGCCCACCACAGCAACAACCTTGGTGTCGGGGTAGGCACTCCTGCATTCTTGCTCCAACACCCACGCACCTATTGGTTGGAAGCAGCAGCATGTGCCACCCACGCACCTGGCAGCAGCAGCAGCACTGGACACCCACGCACGCACCCACGCACGCACGCACGCACGCACGCACGCACGCACGCACGCATGAACGCACCTGGTGGCCGTGGCAGAGGCCGATGCGGAAGCCGCCCACCACAACGACCTTGGTGTCGGGGAACTGAGCATCGTCGTCGTACTCGCCCCGCGTCACATGCACGTCGGGGCAGATGCCCCGCAGGTACTCCTGCACCTCCTGGTGGGGGGAACACGGCGTGGGGGGGGGTTGGGATGTGGGGTTGACTTTGCGCGTCGTCGTTGTGCTCGCCCCTCGTCGCGTCACATGCACGTCAGGGCAGATGCCCCGCAGGTACTCCTGCCCCTCCTTACGTGGGGGTAAGGGCGAGGGGACAGGAGAGAATGTGGGGTTGATTCTGCGGCTTCTGCTGCGGCGGCACAAGCAGATGCCCCGCAGGTACTCCTGCCCCTCCTGGTGTGGTGATACGGGCGAGAGGGCGAAGGGAGGGGTAATTCTGCAGCTTCCAGGGCAGCTGGGGCGGCTAGGGCAGATGCCCCGCAGGTACTCCTGCCCCTCTTTGTGTGGTGATACGGGCGAAGGGCGAGTGGGGGTATGTGGGTGAGTGGGCTTGACGCGTAGGGATCATTCTCCGCTCCCTGGTTGCGATTCATTCTGCAGTCTCTACGCCCAGCTGTGGCAGAAAAGGAGAGGGGTATGTGGCAGATATTCCTGCACCTCATCGTGGGAGCACGATGGGGAGAGGGGGAGGAGGAGGAGGAGGAGGAGGAGGGAAGGGGGGAGTGGGGGAGGGGAGGAGTGAGGCGGGGAGGAGGGTAAGCGGGGGATGTGCGGGTTTCGAGTTGCAGCTTCTGCTTTCAGCTGTGGCGGCTAGGTCAGACGGACCGCAGACACTGCCAATCAGAGAGAAACGATTGACGCGGGAGGAAAGTGGCGGGAGCGGCATATGAGCAACTTGGCACGGAGAGGAATTGGCTGTCACCTCACCTACTTGGTAAAGCAACACGGACCAAAACACGTCCCAAGCGAGGCGGTGAGAAAGACGCGTCCCTCTTCCGCGTATTCCTCTTCCTCTTTAATCGCTACCGCTACCGCGCGCACCTTGATGCAGAGGTTTCCCGGGCTGAGCACGTGGTGGATCTTTCCCGGAAGCAGCATGCTCTTGAACTTGGCCGGCAGATCCGCCGCTCGATGCGGCACGTGCAGGTCGCCGAGCGCGAGCACGAGCACCATGGCGGATTAAATCGAATCAGATCGAATGAAATCGAATTAAATTGAATTAACAGGGGACTCTGATAGCCCGTTTCGCGAGGTAGAGGCAGCAAAGAGCTGCAGCGATGCCGGCGGCTTCCCTTGCCCGTGTGCCACGTGGCGCGGCGCTACGCCGTGATCGGATTCGCACCCGCGCCGCGCGCGAAGCACGGAAAGAGAGCGCTGATGAGGTGTGCGGTAATAGCTACCCGCCACGCACGCGCGTATCCGCGCACGCGTCACAACAATCTAAACCTTGTTCGCGGTTCCAGACCCCATTCGTGCACAATCTTTGAGAAGCCACGTGATTCCTCCGCGTCTCGCCAACTTCACGGGCTGCTACAGTAGGTAGGATGCGGAAAGCGCGGAGCGGAAGAGGAAAATAGTACCCGATCTGCAATAGCGGGGGAGTCGGCCGAGGATTCAGGAAGACTACTAGAGGTGATTGTAACGAGAGTTGAATCGGTGATTTCAAGGGATGGAAAATGCGATTGTATGCACAAACTGTTACTGACATGCTAGAACAATTTTCGTTATTGACTGATTCATCCTGGCGTGTGAAACTCAGGCTGATATATGTACTGAGAGAAAAAAAATCAACCGTACAAACAGCAAGTTGTAAAAGAAAAATTCTGCAGGGCCCTTGCAACAACCATATGAAAGCTGAAATTCATTTCACGCCTTCTCTTGCCCACCCGGTCACCAGCATGTATGTTTTGGTGGACTAAAATCACAGTTTGCTGGCAAATAGTAACCCCCCAACAGCAAATGCGAGAATTTTGTAAGGAACTGAAAAGCAAAATACAAAACTTTACTTCTCAGCCAACTTCAACGGGTACAAACTGTGTACTGGACCTCTCCAGTTCTTCGCCTGTGTCAGAATCCCAGCCACTAACCACTGGGATAAAATGGCTTGTTTGTGTAGCGGGTGAGTGCGCCCATAACCCCCCAGGCCGCCATGCCTGTAACCCTTCCCTAGGATCAATCGGGGATCACCAGTGGACCTCTGACACCCCCCCGCACTGGGATGCCCGAGGTGCACACACCGGGATTCGAACCCGAGACCTTCGCTCTGATACCATGTCAGAATCCCAGCCACTAACCACTGGGATAAAAGGGCTTGTTTGTGTAGCGGGTGAGTGCGCCCATAACCCCCCAGGCCGCCATGCCTGTAACCCTTCCCTAGGATCAATCGGGGATCACCAGTGGACCTCTGACAGCCTTTGGCAGCCGCTGGAGGCTACGCTTTAGCTTTTGCCAGAGCTATCGTACCTACCCACGCTGTGTGAAGTCTAGTTGGCATAATCTACGGGGCAGCGAGCATAGTCGGAACTAGCCATATTGCCACCATTGATTAGCCTACCTGAACATAACAACAATCTGAACATAACGATACCTACAAGGTTAAAGGTTAAATTTGTTTTTCTGGTCGTAACCAGTTTATAAGGGGTATCCACTCCTAGATGAGCACGTGCTAACCCCTACTTGGGGCTGGCAGAACACGCCTGCACGGGGGTGGGTTCGATCCCAGGACCTCATCTATCGGAAGTGCCTCTTTCTACTGACTAGGCCACTTCGGGATAACGATACCTACAAGGACGAGCTCGCCTTCAGATGAAGGTTTATTTTCTTTTGTGACCCAAGGTGGGTGCAAAACAGTAACGGTCACGGCCAAACTGTTCCCACAACCTTTAGAGAGCCAAAATTTTATAATAATATCTTTTCATCGAATACAGCAAAACCTAACCATGTAATGGCAAAAAAATGCTGAAAATAACATACAGAGCCACCTAACGTGCCCGCGTAACAATCGCAGCAGCCACCCTCCATGGTGGGTTTAGTTCACGCTGGCAGCGACCTCGGGGGTCTCGGCGGACGAGTCGAGCTGCAGGTCGTACCGCTTGCCGCGCACCACGGCGTACATCTGGTGCGGCGCGATGTAGTCGCAAGTGCGCTCTTGGCGGAAAGGCTCGCCCTGGATCTGCTCGCACACAAAAGGGAAAAAAAATGGCCGAACGTTAATCTTTAGCGAATGGGAGGTCGTTAATTTCCCGCGACGTTAAACACGGGAGGCCTGAAGAGCCAGAAACGTTGCAGTAACGCATGAAAGGGAAAAACAGGTGTGAAAAGTCGTAACGTAGGCGCAGGTACTAACCTGGTTACCGGAGTGGATCTGCACGCCGGTGATGACGGCGTAATCCGCGGTAGCAGGATCAACGGTGAGCGAGATGAGCTTCTCGAGGTCATCGTTAATCGCCTCGAGCGCGGCCTTGGTGACCTGCACGAGCGACAGCAGCTCGCCCTCCTTCTTGCGCTGCACCTTCTCCATGACCTTGGTCTTGAGCAGCTGGTACTCCGCGTCATCGTCGTCGGGGGAAGGCCCGTTGCCCGCGTTGATGTCGTTCTTGATCGCGATCAGCGCGCCGCACGCGCTCGACGGCTTGCCGCGGCCGCGGCGGAGGAGGGAGCCGACCTCGCCGGACTCGCCGACGGACACGTGGGGGAACGCGAAGAAGATGTCTGGCGAAGGGAGAAAGGGGAAAGAAGAAGGGAGGGACGAGAGAGAGATGGGGGCGGAGGGGAAGAAGGGTCGGGAATTGTGAGAAGGTTGTGGCGAACAATAACGAACTGTTGCCATCTTGCTGCCTGAAATTGCAACCAAATTGTTAAATTAAAATTAGATTTTTACTGGGATCGAGCAGCGGGAGTGGCAGCGGCAGCGGTACTCACATCGCTCCTTGATGGTGCCATCGACGTCGCAGAGGAACTCGGGCGAGTGGCTCATGGCGGCCTTGAAGCCCGTCTTGCCACAGTTCACCAGCCCGCCCAGCCCAGACACGTTGAACGACAGCCCGAACTCCTTGTCGATCAGGTTCACGATCGGCCGGCAAACCTCGTCGCGGCACGTGTTCACCAGCGCGATGCCGTTATCCCTAAAGATTGGCGATGGGCGAGAGGGAGGGGATTGTAGCGAGGGAGAAGATTAGGACACCGAGGGAAAAATGGGTGAAGAGAAAAGTCAAGGGTCGTTGCATGGCATGGATCTGGTGGCCAGTGGTAATTTCACGCGGTATGCTGTTCGAACGCATTCGATAGCATGTTCATGCGCTAGAAGCGTGCAAAGGAACTTAGGGCAGTCAATGCGACTCTTAATGCCCAGTACCCGCGCCACGAATGACCCATCATACTTCGAGGACGCACTACAGAGCAGAGCAGAGCAGTGCGCGGCGTACTAACAATCAAAGCTCACCTGCGGAAGCCGAGCTTGTTCAGTTCGAGCGCCACGGCGTGCATGAAATCGTCCTCCTGCCGCGCGGTGGGGAAGAACTCCGCCATCGTCGCCAGCGCCGGCAGCGCCGCCTGCTTCACGCGCTGCACGGCGGAGCCGTTGCTGTCCGCCACGGCCGCGGTGGTGTCCACGACGGGAGACGCGGCGGCAGTTGCGGGCGTCGCGACGGCCGCAGCGACGGGTGCGGCGGCGGGGGCGGGGCTGGGGAAGGTGATGTTCACGACGTAGTAGGTAGCGCCACCGGCGGCGGCGGGCTGGACACCGGTGATGTCCGCGCTCGCCATGACGACGCCATGTTGTCTGCACGAGGCGCAGGCGCACGAAGGGCGGTGCGCAGTGGCGTACTTAGCTGCCGGAGTCGCCTTGGCTGACCTGAGCCCGGTAAATGCGGGAAGCGCAGCGGCGCGGGTGGATGTGGTCAGGTTGGAGCTGGCAAGGGACAGGGAGCGGGACACCGCTGCGGAGGTGGAGAGGGCTGCCATGGCGTCGAAGACTGTGAGGGTAGGAAGTTCCGACGTAATGATGAGCAGCCGGGTAGGTAGGTGAGTGGTTAGGCAAGAACGTCGTTGATTAATGAAAAGCGAATTGCACGCTTATTTATGCGTAAACCAGCAGGCACAAGCTCTCACCAACCAAAATCGAGCGAGTAGGGGGGTATGAGATTAGGATCCCAGGGAAAAGGGAAATGCGTGAATTGGGCATCTGTGCCTGGCGATGCTCACTCACACGCGCGAAGCGCGCAATTGTGTGGAAATTTGGGGGCGAATATGACCATTTTCACCTCCGTTTCGTCCCCTTTCCGCATTCCCCGTCCATTGCTGAAAGTAAGTGGGTGGTGTTCTTCGTCAGCGTCCATCTCGATGACGTCAATTGCTGTCCACGTGCATCCGTTTCTTTGGTGGACGACCCTAATCGCACCCGCCCTGAAAAAGGGAACATCGGTGACGGGGTGGCTCCTCATCGATGATATGCGCACCTGTTCCCCTAAATTTGGGCACGAGCGGGACACAATCCTCTTCGATGACGGATAAGGGGACGAGAAAAGCTGGACCGCAGATGATACCTGGGATGCACATGACTTGCAAAACCGGACAATCTATCCTCGTTATCCCAACCGCACCTCGCCTGGAATCTACGTTCGGGAGTCACGGGTTTCGGCATTGACTTTCACCACTATGAACGGCTGCGGTCAGGTCGCTATTGCAGTGTTATGACTTGTGATAGAGATAAGGGGGAAATAACAAATAACCCAATTGCTCCTTAGCATACAAAACTAGGCAGTGATACTAGAGTAAAGCTAGCTGGGCTCCCACCTAAGGAACTAGGTTGGAATTCGCAGGACGATAGCCATGGATCTGCGAAAATCAAACATCTAGGTGGCTGCAGGAAATTGTTGTGCACTTCATTCACACAAACCAAGTTTCAACCAAATCACGCGTCTAGCACCTGGATGGGATGGTAACCTGCAACGGCATAAAATTCTTGATCTGTTCACCTTGCTGCCCATAGCCCAAATTGGCTGGGTGAAATGCCCATGTTACTCCATTCTCATTTTTACCGGTACTTACCGTATCCTACTTCAAAACGGGTTGTAGAAAAAAACACTTTCTCAGAATGAAAGTTCTGAACATCCTGGACCCAACCTGACTAAGATAGCGTGCCCTGGCAGGGTCCCAGAACGCTTGAGGCACCCCCCCTTCCTTTTGCCACTGTCTTTCTCCCTACAAGTGTACTGCGCACAGAAGAACTCCCTATGTGGTGTACTCAGCATTAATCTTGACGTAGTCGTAGCTGAGATCGCAGCCCCACGCCTTGCTGTCTCCCGGGCCATCCCCAATGGAGATATCGATCACCACTGTGCCGTGCACCTCGCCCTTCCCCCTCAGATACTCACTCGCTGCCTTCCTGCTTGCGGGAAGAGGAGCGTGGGAGCGAGGGGAAGGGGAGTGGGAATGGGGGGGTGGGAAAGATGGGAAGGGGAGCAAGAATTACAGGAAAGGGAGTGCTGGCGGGCTGATAAGAGAGACCGCGTACAGGGTTTAGCATCGCGAAACCCAACCACTCCAAAGAGTAACTCCCTGCAGAGACAGCAGCAGAGTTGAGGCAAACAACCAGAATGAGCAGAATGTCGCCCAGAGCAATGCGCAGAGCCGTGGCATCAAAAGCCCTCCCCAATTCCCTGTCCCCCAGTCCCCTTCCCCACCTTCCCCCCGCCCCACAGCACGTGCCTGTCGAACGGCAGTGGCTGCCCCTTGTCCATGAGCAGAATGTCACCCAGAGCAATGCGCAGAGCTGTGGGGTCGAAGGGCCTCCCCAGGTCCCTGTTCCCCAGTCCCTCCCCCCCCTTCCCACACCCCTAGCACGTGCCTGTCGAAGGGCAGGGGCTGCCCCTTGTCCATGAGCAGAATGTCACCCAGAGCAATGCGCAGAGCCGTGGGGTCGAAGGGCACGCCTGCATACCCCGCTGCACACGCTATGCGCCCCCAGTTGGGGTCCCGCCCGTACACTGCCGCCTGTGCGAGGGGGTGTGAGAGGCGTAAGAGAGGAGTGAGAGGCATGACAGGGGTGAGAGGCGTGAGAGGGGTGAGAGGAATAAGTCAGATTGAGGAGGAGCAGTGCAAGGGTGGCGTTGGGGAAGGGAGACGGAGATATGAGAGCTGATTGAGAGGCGCGAGGTGAGGCACCGGGGGAAAAGCGGCCACCAGTGTTTCTAAGGAAACTTGTGAGTAGGGATGGTAAGAGAGCAGCCACTTGGTGCTGTCCACGGCATATGGTGTACATGGGGACTAGAAGGGAAGTCCCAAACAAGCAACAATGCAGAGAGGTGAGGAGAATGTGCAGATAAACGAGGTAGAGGACAGGTCAGCAGCTATAGGTCAGCAGCTACAGTTCAACAAGCAATGGCAGATGCACACCGGATCGTGTTTGATCCCAACTTCTATCTTATGGGCAGATTAGAGATTTCAATCTCGTGTGTGTGTGTGTGTGTATGTGTGTGTGTGTGTGTGTGAGAGAGAGAGAGAGAGAGAGAGAGAGAGAGAGAGAAAGTGTGTGTGTGTGTGCGCGTGTGTGTGTGTGTGTGTGCGTGTGTGTGTGTGTGTGTGTGTGTTTTCTTTCTTCTTCCTCTCTCGTAGGAAGATTCCAGTTGGTGGGATCACCTTGGCAAGGGAGGACGCAGCCACAGAGCGCGCCACTACTGCTGCATCAGCCTCCGTCTTCGAACTGACTTCTGAGCCGACTCAGAAGTCAGCTCGGGTGCTCACCTTGGCAAGAGACGATGCAGCCACAGAGCGCGCCACCACTGCTGCATCAGCCTCTGTCTTAGCTCCTGCCACATGCACCTGCGGGGTGGTGGTTGTGGGTGATGTCACAGAAGCACGACAGAAGCGGGGACAGGGAGAGGTGGGGGCACAAGAGGTGATCATGGAGTGTCACCCATCCCCTGAGGCATCACAGCTCCTGCCACATGCACCCGCAGTGGAATTTTGAGTCGACTCAAATGCCACATGCACCTGCAGTGGAATTTTGAGTCGACTCAAATGCCACATGCACCTGCAGTGGTGGTGATGCTTTATGGGCCACGAGCAGAATTGACGAGGGAGAGGGACAGGGGAAGGGACGGATGAAGGTGGAAGAGGAGAGAAGGGGAGAGAGGGGATAGGGGGAGAAGGGGATTGGAGGCAAGTATGGGAACGAGAGTAGGGAGAGGAGGGAACGGGAACGGGAGAACAGATCCAAGGGGAGACATGGACAGGGAAGTGATGAATAGAGCGGAACATCAAGTGAGGAGCAAGGGAGTGGAGGAGGAGGGAATCCAATCAGAATGTGAATGAAAGAATTCCAAGGCTCGAGCCTCCTCCCCATGTGCTCCTGAAGCACCCCTTTCATGTCCCCCTCACCACTGCACCCGCGTGCGCTTGCGTGAGCTGGTGCTGTTGCCACATGACTTTTGAGTCGACTCACAAGTCACTGCGTGAGCTTGTGCTCTTGCCACATGCATGAATGATCTGGTGTTGGTGCTTGTGCTTCTTTCACTCGTGCACATGCTCGAGCTGCTGCTTGTGTTTGCGTGTGCAGGTGTGCGGTTGTGCTGGCGCGCACCTCGATGAGGCAAGTGGCGCCTTCCCCATCCCATGCGATGGCCTTGGCCAGCCCTTGACACACCTACGGGGGGAAGGACAGGGGAAGGGCGGGGAGGAGGTTGGGGAAAAAGGCAGCGGTAGGATGGGGGATGGGCGGGGGGAGGGTGGGGGAAGGCCATGGGAACGGTGGGGGAGGGGCACAGGAAGGGTTGGGGGGGGGGAGTGGGGAGGGTGGGGGAAGGGGTGGCAAGGGAAGATGAATAGCGAAGAGATAGAAAGCGGAAAGTGCGATGAAGGGAGCAAGGGAGGTTGGAATGGAAGGTAAATCTGATTGCCTTGGATCGGCATCAGCATCTACAAGTGAGACAGATCTCAGAAGTTTTAAGTAGATCTGTTGAGATCTTCAAAGCGGTACGTGAAAAGCTCCCAGCAGAGTCGAGTGGGGAAGGGAGGGGGGCAGCACAGCGAGTGCATTGAATGGGAATTAGAGGCATCTATGCAAACGAGGCAGATACAAAAAACTTGAACAAACGAGGGGGTGACTGAAAGTGGGAGATCAAGAAAGTGCGCGAGGGACTAAGAGTGGAAAGAGAGAACTGGTGAGGGAATGAGTGAGGGAGTGAGTGAGGGAGTGAGAAGAATGAGATAAGGTAAGTCTCACAGCATCCATGGCGGCCTGCAGCTGCCTGCCCTCCTCCGATGCACTGTCCGCTATCACTGGCCCCCCTGCCTTGCCGCTCGCCAGTGCGATCACACAGTCGTTGGTGCTCGTGTCCCCGTCCACCTGCAATGCATGGGGGAGGGAAGTGGGATGAGGGAAGTGGGAGGAGAGGAGCTGAGAGGACGGGAAGAGGGATGACGGGAAGTGCCGAACTGCCCTGCGCAGTGACACGGCACGAGATAAGAGGAGAGCCATGAATAACCAATGGCACCGTCAGCTGCCTCACAAGAAGAAGAGCAACCACGGAGACATCAAGGCGCAAAGAGTCGATTGGGACCAATTGGCCAGTAGATAAGGCGTCGTGCCATGGCAGTGGATAATGGGGGAGACATGGGTGACCGACGTCACTATCCGTCCGTTTTTTGAGAATTCTAAAAAGACCGACGTCAATATCCCTCCGCTGCTCATTAAAAAAAATATATAAAAACCCAGACCTCGAGGCACATGCAGCCAGGTAGGTGGGCTGCAGAAACAGGTAGGTGTATGCGGAACTGCTCTGATGAGCGGATGCTTCGGTGGAGCCATATGGTCACAATGGCAGACACGTAAGCGGCAAAACGATTCTTCTCATGTTTTGAGGTGACTTTTGAGGCGACTCAAAAGTCACCTCGTGACCGAATTCTTCTCATAATCTGCCCACCGAAGCGGCACACCTCGAGTTTCGAGCCGAACCCCTTTGTACCATCAATCAAGTTTTTCGGTTACCACTTTCAGCAGCAATGGGGGTTGGCACTGATGCGGGAATTCGTTATCCCTACCTGGAACGCATGGTATGGATACATTGATGTAACACAAAGGTCCACTCATGCCGGAGAGGAGAAAGAGAGAGGATGGAGAGAGCAGCAGCAGCAGCAGCAGCAGCAGCAGCAGCAGCAGCAGCAGCAGCAGCAGCAGCAGCAGCAGCAGCAGCAGCAGCAGCAGCAGCAGCAGCAGCAGCAGCAGCAGCAGCAGCAGAAGCAGCAGCAGCAGCAGCAGCAGCAGCAGCAGCAGCAGCAGCAGCAGCAGCAGCAGCAGCAGCAGCAGCAGCAGCAGCAGCAGCAGCAGCAGCAGCAGCAGCAGCAGCAGAAGCAGCAGCAGCAGCAGCCGCAGCAGCAGCAGCAGCAGCAGCAGGGCACGCACGGTGATCTGGTTGAAGCTGCGCTGCACGGCGGTGAGCACCACGTGCTTCCATAGGTCCGGTGCCACTGCTGCATCACACGTCACCACCTGACGGGCACACATGCCGTCATCACATGCATTCAGGCAGGCAGCCGATCAGGCAAAGTCAGGCATGCAGTGGCATGCAGTCAGGCATGCATGCACGCACGCATATTGGACGGATGGGTAAAGGTGGGGATTGGGTAAAGTTGACTCAAACCGGCAACATGGCAAGATAGCAAGGCACAAGCGTACAAAGGCCTCCCACTATCGGACACGTTGCGCCACACATCCTTGGCATCAAATTGAAACGCACAGTACGCGACACTGAGGTGGGTGTTCTTTGAGAATTCTCAAAAACCACGCGACACAGAGGCGGAGTTGACCCATGCCCTTGCTGTGTGTCCTGAAAGCAGTCCTTGACACAGCGTTGAACTTCCACCTTGTTTCCCCCCTCGCCCCTTCCCCTTTTCCCTCCCCCTCCCCCTCCCCTTTACCCCGTTCCCCCTCCCCCTCGCCCTCCCCCTTCCCCTCTCGCCCCTGGCCCCTTGCCCCCCTCACCCCGAGCATGGTGGCCACGTTGGGGTGGATCATACCCGACCCCTTGGCCATGCCTAAGCCTTCCCCATTGCCCCCACACCCTTCCCCTTCCCCCCACCCCCCCTCCATCCCCCCTCCCCACCTCCATCCCCCCCCCCCTTCCCCTTCTCGCTCACCCCGAGCATGGTGGCCATGTTGGGGTGGATCATACCCGACCCCTTGGCCATGCCCCCCAGCCGCACCGTCGTTGACCCGATCTGCACGCAGAGAGGTGGGGGTGGGTGGGTGCAGAGATGGGAGGAGGGGAAAGGGGCGACGAGAAGCGAGGGTGGGCTGCCATCGGGTGGCCTGGCCATGCTGGGGCGGATCATGCCCGACCCCTTGGCCCTGCTGCCCAGCCGCGGCGTTGTGGAGCCAATCTGTGAGCACAGGGGTGAAGTGCGGAATTGTGGGGGAACGGGGCAGGAAGAGGGGAGCAGGGAGCAAGGTGCAGACTGGAATGAGATGGCAATTGGATGTGTGTTGGGGCGTGGAAGACGAGGAGCGATGCAGAGCACTGCAACTGTGAACCGCATTAGAGGGAGGGTGTGGACAGGATGGCTGAAGGATGAGGGAAGGATGAGGGAAGGAGGACGGAAGGAGGACGGAAGGAGGACGGAAGGAGGACGGAAGGAGGACGGAAGGAGGACGGAAGGAGGACGGAAGGAGGACGGAAGGAGGACGGAAGGAGGACGGAAGGAGGACGGAAGGAGGACGGAAGGAGGACGGAAGGAGGACGGAAGGAGGACGGAAGGAGGACGGAAGGAGGACGGAAGGAGGACGGAAGGAGGACGGAAGGAGGACGGAAGGAGGACGGAAGGAGGACGGAAGGAGGACGGAAGGAGGACGGAAGGAGGACGGAAGGAGGACGGAAGGAGGACGGAAGGAGGACGGAAGGAGGACGGAAGGAGGACGGAAGGATGGTGAAGAGTTGGCTGCATCGATGCTCAACAACCTAGCTCCTCCGTTTCCTCCTGAGCCTTCCCATCTCAAAACGCATTTACCCCTCCTCCTCTACACGCTACTACAACCAAGCCAACATGCTTCACGCACCATCTTCCCCCTCCCCCCGTCCTTTCCCCTCTCCCCCCTCGCCCATACCCTGGGCTCTGGGACGCCACAAAACCCCCGAGCCCTTCACCCGCGCTCCCAGCCCCCCGCCACAATTGCATCTCTATTCTAGGAGCTCCTAGAATATCTCAACAAACGCTTACACTCTTGCTGCGTTGCCCCATGCACGCGCCTGCGTTACCGCTCTCTCGCGTCTGCGTTTGGCCAACTTACACCCTCCCTCACCCCCCCACCTGCGACTCTCCCCATCCCCACCCGCACCTGTGCTGTGTGTGCAGACTTCCCCCCCCCCCCCCGTACCTGCGTCTCAATGGCAACGCTCTTGCTGACCAGATCCGTGGTGGTTATGGCCACGAGGTGATTATTCAGTCAACTCGAAGGTTTCCCCCCCACACCTCCGTCTCTAATCCCACCGGCGTCTACCCCTCCCCCTCACCTGCGTCTCAACGGCGACGTTCTTGCTGACCAGATCCGCGGTAGTTATGGTCACTGCTGGCACTATTGGTTCGGCCGGATCAAAAGACTCGCCCACATCTC